TTTTACTTAAGAAATAATATGAATTATCTTAATAAAATTTAGAGTAATTTTAATTTATTTTTTTGTTCAAAATTGTCATCCATAAGATTCAAACTCTAGATCTGCTATCTGGGGGTGTGACAACTCCACCACAATTTTTTTATCATATCTCACTATTCTTTATATTTAATAATAGTAAAAGGCTACAAATCATACAATATCTATTTTGCTACTATATCATTACACTTTTGCTATTCTTTTGCTAAATGGGGAGTATAATAATTTTTATACTCAGATTTGTGTTGGTGCAATAATATTATACAATAATAGATATTTCTTTAATGTTAAGATGCCAGTTTTTTTTCTATATTTTGTTTTGTATCTTTTATACTTCTACTTTCCAGAATGAAGTTTATTAAAATATTTTTACACAGTTGAGAGTTTTCTTCTTTTTTTGTTGAGACTATGAATCAACAATATCATTTTTATCTTTATTCGAATGAGTGCTTGTTGTTGATTTATTTTTCTGATATTTATAGGTTTCGTTATTATTTTTCTAATCACTTACAAAATCTAAAGAATTAATATTCATATTGTTTCTTAAGTAAAAGTAAGAACTTGATGAAAAAGATATATAACTATTATGAATTAGAAGAGAAGAATGAATAAAGTCAAAAAAAAAAAATTTTATAATTTTTGAACCAAATAGTAATCATGTATATATAATGACTAAATCATAATTTATTATAAAAAAAAAATTAAAATATAATTTAATAATACATTTTGTAATTAAAAGATAGAATATTATTTTTTATTTTTTTTATTAAAGTATTAGGTTTTTATGTATTAAATAAGGTAGATAGGAGTAATTTGGTGAATAAAGATAATTTGGTGAATTGTAGATATCTTGTGAACCTGTGATCAGACTTGGACAATTTTATCAACATTCAAATCCTCTCAATGAGAAGATTCGAATGGTGGTAAAATTGTCCAATTCTGATTACAGGATCACAAGATATCTAAAAATTTGTTAAATAGTTCTATTTGTATATAATGTTTTTCTTATTGTAAGATCACATTATAGTAGATATAAATGTTCACAAACACTTTTGTACAATAAAACAACTATTTTACTGATTAATGAATCTATATAAAAATAAATTTACTGTTAATTTAAACTTCAACACATTATTTTTTATAAAGTTTGTCATGTTATTTCTGCAAAATTTGTCATGTTATTTTTTGTACTTTTAGAAATTTTATTATACCTTTTTATTAAAGCCAAAATAAATATACCAAAAGTACTTTATATTAAACAAGATGAAGCTATTCATGCCATACTCAAAAAATTAGAAAATTGCTCTGCTGGTTTAAAGCCTCCAAGTATAAATAGTTTGGTGAAAGATTTTGGTCTTGTAGAAACTACCCTTCAATATGCCATTAAAATGGCTATCTTTCTAATCATCTAGGTGTACCTAGTATTCTGACAGCCTATGAAAAAAACCAACTTGTAGACTATTGCAATAATATGCAAAAGCTTGGATTTGGTTTAACAAGGTTAGGGTTAATTATTGCATAATTAAAATTATGTAATTAAATCAGTGATTTTATTCTTTTGGAGAAAATAGGCCAGATCAAGATTGGTAAACATGATTCATAAGAAATTACCCAAAATTATCATTTCATGTTTCTCAGGAATTATTGAAAGTGCATGTACAAAAGGCCAATAAAGTAATCATTAAAGATTATTTTCAAAAACTTCAAAATTTATTAATAAAAATTTTCTTACTGTGACACAAATATAAAATATGGATAAATCTAGTTTTATTGTTGTGTCTAAATTAGAAAAAGTTATCACCTGAAAAGGTGTATGTCAAGTCTATAAAATCACATATAAAAATTTCTATAATCATATTTTAGTTGTATCAACTATTTTAGCAGCTGAAAATTGTATTCCATCTTTAATTATTTATAAAGATATCTGTATGATTCCTGGTTTGTTAGAAGATGCACCTTCGAGAACTGTAATAGGTTTTATGGACACAGGGTACATGTGGGAAGAACTCTTTTAAATGTATCTTGACCATTTTATTAGTTTAATTCTACCTGCCCAGCCTATTTTACTAATACTAAATAGTCACAAAAATCATGTTAGTTATACATCAGTTAACTTTTGTTACAATTACAGCATTCTTCTTTATATGCTTTTACCACATACAACACATGTTCTACAACCATCAGAAATTCTTTTCACTAATCTAAAAAAATTATATAACAAAGCATGTAAAAAGTATTATAGTGATAATAATGAAATAATAGTAACCAAATACATATTTGTGAAAGTTTTTGGTTCAGCCTTTATTGAAACTTATACACTACAGGCTATTTGCAACGCTCACAAGAAAACAGGAATATGGTCTTTAAACCCAGATACCATTACTCCTGATCATTTAGACCTATCATTGACAACCAAACAACTTAATATTACACTTATGTATATTCAACTTTCTGTTCCACAAACTAAACTACTTTCAGTATCTCATACACCTACTAATTCAAATCATTTTCATTCTACTCGCCTAAATATTGACAAATTAATAGAAGAAAATAAAGCACTTAAAAATAAAAATATAGTACTTAAGAACAAAAATAATTTGCTAAAATCTCAAATTTTAGTAGTAAAGAAAGAACTGGATACTTACAAAAATCCTAAAACATGCAATCTGTATTTGGCTTTTAAGTATTTAGTTTCTTGCCTTCCACCTGCAAAAATCCACAGGTAGTTACTGAGAATTAGACAGAGTCTAAATTACCTCTTCCTTAAAAAAAAAGAAAGACATTTCTATTTGCAAAGCTCCTAACTAATAAGGAAAGTTGGCAACAACTACAAAAGCCAAACAGAGAAGCAGAATGATTAGCAGAAGAAAAAAAACAGAAAAAAGAAATAGTGACCCAAAAAAAAAGCTGAACGGAAACTACTTTTAGCCCAAAAAAGGGAAAAGAGAGCCCAAAAAATTTAAAAGAAGTAAAAGGCTGCTAAAATATAAAAATATTAAAAAAAAATTTTTTCAAAAATTCGCCAAATTACCCTTGTCAATCAAATTTTCACCTTTTTAATGCCATACACAAAGTGATAATTTTTATACTAATTCGACCTATCACATGATCTTTTTTTTTTACTAGGCTTATTCTTGAATATGATATTGTTTTGTAACTTAAATATTTGAAAATTTGCATGGGTTAAAAAAAGTTTACCCAATAGCAATGTTTACTTCGCCAAATTATCTCTGTCTACCTTATATATATATATATTTAATAAATAACATAAATGCTTATTATAAATAAAAACTTAATAACTGTATATTATTTCTATAACCACAATTTTATATAATTATAGTGATATGAGTAATCATTGTAGTACAACAATTTTTAAAAATTAGGCCTTTATAAATAAATATTTTTAAATTGGACTCTCATTTATAATTATTTTAAAATTTGGGTCTCAATATGTAAATTTCCCTTTTTATTTCTCTACAGCCCATGTTACTGTATATTAAATCTGATTCAAAAATTAGCCAATAATAAATAACCAATCACTCGGCAGACTATAAATTTAAACTTCTGATTTGGGACAATCTATTTATTAATAACAGATAAGGCCCGTGGGTATCCACAGGTTTTGCGAACTGGGCAAGGGTATTAAGTTCTGAGCCCTAGGGTAAGGGTAAGGGCTCAAAAGTCAAACCCTTACACAAACGGGTAGGGCTAGGCAGAGTTGTCATTGGATATGCTTGGACAATTTTGAACAAAAAAATAAATTAAAATTACTCTAAATTTTATTAAGATAATTCATATTATTTCTTAAGTAAAATATAATTAGCACCTAAAAATATATTTAATTATATATTTTTTAAATAAATTTATTAATTATTAAAGCTTAGAGATGCCTTGGACAATCTTGGACGTCCAAGCATTTGGACATAGTAACATGACAATACTGGGACTAGGGTATTACCACTATCCGGCCCTACCCGCCCATGCGGAGGCCTAATTGCCATGTTTTTTTTTGGTGTTCTAGCGTTTCCACTGCTAGAACGATCCAGCTCTAACCAGGCGATAAGCCTAAGCTTGGGAACCGGCACCGTTGGTCGTCAATCCACAGGACACCCGTACTAATAGGGCGTCAGAGCACGCTATCTGGGAAAGGATAGCAGCCCGCTTAAGCAGCCAGAATAGATTGCTCTACAGAGCCAACTATACCCTTCCAGGAGATCTTATGGGATCCTGCCTTCGTATAGTATATCTACTGCGCTTACTCAACGGGCGACACACAAAATGTTATCAGCCATGACGATGGACTAAGACACTTCGGTGCCAATATATAATAAGTATTATCTATACAATATTTTTTTAAAAATCAATTTTTTTAAAAAGAATATTTATATTAGTAAAAGCCTTAATGATATTAATATTAACTTCTTGTTTGCTAAATATTTAAATTTATACGTAAAGTAGTTAAATTTTTTTGTTTAGGCAAATCTTAATTAATTTTAGCAATTATTATTTTTTTTTTTTTGTGTTTAGATACGTACACTATATTTAAATTACAGTATATTCCTTTTTATATATAATTAATAACAATATACTGTATTTACAATATGTATAATAAAATTTTTTTTTACTTTGATAAAATCATCTTTGTAATTTGGATATTTATCTAAAATTGAAAAACCTTGTAGCATTTTTTTTAAAAAAAATCAATTTGCAAATTTAATTATTTATAAATTTTAAAAATTTTGTTTGCAAACAAAAAAAAAGTCTTAAAATTATTATATGAATAGCAAAAATTACATCTTTTAAATGCTAAAAATAGCTAAACATACCAAGCAAAGTAAATTTATATATACAGTATTTTATTGAGAATTAGTTATTTTAAATTTGGGTTGAAACAGGTTTTAGATAATTATATATGCAAAATTGCCTTTCCAACATTTTTACTTTAACTAATCCAAGATAGGTTTAGACTATCATTTCTTGTATTTTCGTTTTCTTGTTTCGCTTCATTAATGATCATCAAAATTCTATAATTTGATTGGTCTTATATCACGTAATCCTGCTTCGCTTTAGATAATCTCTTTAGAGGGTTGTATTACCGTCACATAAGTAAAACTGTATATATATTATGAATAAACTAATAAATTTTCAAAAAAAAAATATCAATTAATAGTATAAAAGATACTATATTTATTATTTAAAACAAAACACTTTAATACAACTCTAGATAATAAAATCACCAATTCCTTTTTTTTTTTTTTTTTTACATAAGATAATCTCTTTTGTCTTTTCTAAAAATTTATGATCACTGTAAAACTCTTGTACATAATTTTTTTTTTTCAAAATTTCGCGTTTATTCTATTTAAGGTGGATTTTTGTTGGTACTATTTTAGACAATAACTCTATCTTCTACCCGAATTAGGTGGATATTCGCAGTATCGATCTTTTACGCGAGTTACTTGAAATACACCTATAAACAAATGATCAAGAAATAAAATTTATATAATAAAAATCTGATGCCACGTCAGTAAATGTATATCTTCCAAAAATACCTTGTTGTGAAGTAAAAATTGAATGCTGGTATTGATGAATGTTGAGGACCGTAAGGGTTTCAAGAACACGACCTGGTTTACGTTCTTTCTTTTCATTAATCAATAACTCGCTTCTCGTGTAGGTAAATTCGAAAGGTGGGGTACCTTCAAAATTTGACGTTGGTTATTTGAAAATATAAGTTTTAATTTTTATCTTATTAGCAGCTATAATGTCAAGTTATTAAAAAGACAATTTACCAATGAAATTGACAATAATTTCAGTTTTGTCTCCTTCTCTAATATCTGATATAATATCTTTGCCTTCGGAGACAATAGCGGTTGGAAGATCATAAATAATCTCTGTTAAATTTGATACATATCCGCAACATTGATTTCCTTGGTGGCAAACTTTAGTTATTGTCATATTTCCAGGTTTATCTGCTCCAAAAGTGTATGTGTGGGTTTTTGAAATTGTGTGTAGTACTTCTCCATTATATTCACGAGTAATGTTATAGGGAATCATGCCTTAAAATAAATATATTAAAAATGTTAATATGATTTTAAAGATTAGCACTATGATCATCGGATAGAATTTATACCTTGTAACTTGTAAATTAGTAAATCACCAACGCAATGGATTTGTTGTTGGAACGTTCGATCAATTGATGCTACATCAGTAACTTGGATAGATATTTTATTATTTGGTCCTTGTAATGTATTGCTACAACCATGAGAATCAACTATATGAACTAAGGTTATTGTATAATTTCCAATTTTTGCAAATCTTGTTGACGGATGAAAATTATATATGGATTCGTAAATTTCTTCGATCTTTAGAGTTTCCATCTTATTGCTGCTTTCTTGCGCAACTTCAAACGTTAGACTAAAAGGCGGTACACCATCTAATTGAATCTTAATATCTTTATTTGTGAATGGAACATCAACACAATGAAATAATGTATCCGCTGAAAGAAATCTAGCAACCGGTTTAGCGTTAACAGTTTGTTCAAGAGTTAATAATATTGGGCTTGGTTCAATGTAAACATCGTCAGCAATACTAGTGAAATTATAAAGATGTCTTCCAGCTTTATTTGTCATAAGCCGTATTTTAGTGGTTGTATATCCAACTGTTTGATGACGCGTTAGTTCTTCATCACTTGTAATTATTCTATAATAAATTTCCCATGGTGCTCGACCTTCCATGACCAAACCAACCGAATCATCGGATCCTTCACAAACATTCCTACGATGATAATGACCTTTTTGAGGCAATGGTTCAGCATCACCCTCTGCTATTCTTAACGACGGTCGTGGCAGCCATCTCGCCTCAACTTCCTTCATTTCAGGTATTATTCTACCATAGCAAAAAGAATCTTTGACTTCTAATAACTCGTAAACACCCTGTTCTGACACAGTTAAGAATGAGTTAGGATCAGCAATTTCTGATTTTCTTTCAACCTTTTCAACATCACCGTGATAACGGTAAGAAATATTCCAAGGTGCATGCCCAGTTAATTGTAAAGGCAAATCAACGTCATGTCCTTCAAGGAATGTGATAATCTCATGTGTATGTCTAAATCCAGCAGTTGGTCTATCTTTTTTAACGTTAATGGTCACGTAATCAGAAGAATTTAAGACCTGACTACATCCTTTTGAATCAGTAATCTTCACCAATGTCACGGTGTATAAGCCTGGATTGTCAAAAGGTGGAGATGTAAGTACATGAGTTGAACCTCGGATATCAGCAATTGTGAACGCGTTAATCCTTCTATTAAATACTACTTCATATCTGTCATAAATAAAATTATTAATAAGAAAATTAGCATAAATATAATAAATTAGTACAACATACTATAACGCACTTACATTAACGTGAAGGGACCAGTTCCTACAAGTTCTACTTCCAAGTCTATGCGGCTTCCAACACAACCATTCAACATTCGATTTTTTAAACCTTTAAAAGCGGCATTGGGTTTCGGGTGTACAGTTTGAGAGAATTTATGATCTATTTTAACACCTTCACGATAAATAAAATCCATTAAACGAAAAAATCTATATTCATATTGTCCTGAAGTAGTTGGTTTGATAATCATTGAATGTCTTGACTTTTCAATTTTTATATATTCTTTTTTTTCTTTATTTTGAGAAATTACTGAATATTCGACTTGCCTAACCAAAATATTATTAAATATTATTTAATGTTATAAAATCAATAAATATCGTAAATGGTCAATTAAATTGCAATAAGGCTTACCAAGGTGGAGTTCCAGTTAATGAAAGGATTACTTCGACACCAACTTCTCCAGGACAGTCATTAGCAGGTATAGGGATGACATCGAACTTGACAGTGGGTGGATAAGCGAGAATTACATTCTGAAAAGAAGGTGCTAAAACTTGGCCAGCACATTTAGAATCTGATACTGAAAGTAGTTTAGTTTGTGGAACAGAAAGTTGAATATACATAAGTGTAATATTAAGTTGTTTGGTTGTCAA